AGCTTGGTACAGTATCAGTAGGCACTTCTCTAAGAACTCAGGGTGGAAACGCAAGCGTTTTGATATCCATGTTTCTAACTTTATTGATAAATGTGATTCTATCATCTATCAGATAGTAACCAATACCTACTAAATAGCTTCTCTATTCATTATATTCAAGCAGAAGCGCCATTTTTGGTAGCAACTACGTAGAAAAAATTAACTAAATACATTATGTGTTAATCTTCATCCTCGAAGAGTATGTGTAGGTAGTATACAAGAGTTACTACAAGAAAATGCCAAGCTCGCTTCGCTTCTCATTCTTGCCAAGCTCGCTTGTGGCCTGTTATGTAAGCGTAAATATCATGCCTGTGGAAGAGGAGATATTGCTATATTATAGAGCTCCCATACCATCCTCATAATTAGTATCTACATACAAATCTCTATCATTATATTGTCGCCATTGTGATCTCTGCCTGTCTCACTTTTAAATTATCGCTATAATACTTATGGTAATTCCCGCTTTTATTCCTAAATCATCTGGTTGGACGCCAAAGGGAGTATGAATAAAGACCAGCGGGGGCTTTAATGATTTTTTCTTTTTTCGCTCTCCTCTGTTCTCAGCGTACATACTTTTTCGCTCGATAAAAGACTTCAACTGCATTCCAACTCAACGGGTTCACTTCTTTAAGCAACATGATCATTGAATCGTCGGGAAACCCGTGAGCCTACTTGATGATTCCATGATCGGACAGTGGCTCTCAGAACTACCAATGGATCACCCAGAATGCAAGTCTCCGTCGAAACCTCAGCTATGTTATTTCACCCACCATGACAAACCTGATCAAACATCTTTGATTCCTTGGGTCAGGTGTGGAGTTTTGTGTTTTACCATATTGAATGTGAGGGCAAGTCGTACGCTTTAAAGTTGGTATGTTTGCTACTTTTTCTTTGTCCAAATTACCTCAGATTGTGATCTGTTTGATATATCCTGGTTACGTACCACAAACAACCTAATCTCATTTGTCCTACATTTCTCAGCTAGGCACTGGCCATACCCAGGGAGGGATTTCTCATGCAAACCCAAAAAACATGAGAGGATACTGAAAGCTCCTTTCGTTCATGAGGCCTGTGCTTTTTCTTGTCTTGACAGCATTGGGGACAACAGCACATGAGAAGTAAAATGTCATGAGTGCATTAAGCTTGATAACAATCAGTTCAAGGGCTTAGACAACAAGCATCACATATTCTGTCAATGAGCAATCATCAAGGATTTTATTCCTGAGACAATCAGCATAAGTGATATCTCTGAAGTACATCACAAAATACAAATGGCTTGTAGTGCTATGCTATGTGGCCTGATGATGTCAAATCCAAGAACTATAGTGGCTCATTCATTGTGGATTTGGGTAGCACAGCCACTTACCCAGATATCCATTGTTTCTGATTGAGTACAAGGCGCAGGTAGTGCTTTGCTGATATAGATCAATGTTTTATGGATTAGGAGCCATCTGATTGGGACAGTGAACTTGTGAATAAGTTTTTCAATGACATGCATAAAGAAAATGTGGCGATTTCAAAAAAAAAAAAAAAAAAAAAAAAAAAGAAAAAAAAAAAAAGAAAAAAAGAAAAGAAAAGAAGGAGGAGAGGGCGTTGAGAAGGAGCAGGAATAGCAGAAAGAGCGATTTGCAAAGAGAAAGCCCCAGCGACCAAACCCTAATTGGGAAGAATTCAACATTTACCCAAGGGGTCGGCTTGATATCGACTATTCTTCTTGTGCAGGTGTGCTCATACACACCATCCTAAGATTTCCAAGAAGGGAGGAGGGGATACTTTAACCAGCGTGTATATCACGGTCGGCATCCGACAACACATGAATTCACCAAACTTGTGAGCTTGTCAGTAGGCACTTTGGTCCACTGTTATCCCACAGAATGCAAGGAGGAGCAGTATCATTGCGACGAAGTCGAAACTGAAATGAAGTTTTAGCCAATCTCCTCCATCAGGATACAGTCTCGGTGGCCGAATATCAGCATGGGAGAATTCCCCAAATCGATAGACGACCATCGCGTCACGCCCGCTTTAGGTAGGCCAATGCAACCTGACATACTCGAAGCTGCCACTAAGAAAAGTGAGACGGTCTCCCTCTTGAACATGCAAAAAGCGCTGGACAACCAGAGAGAATGGGCATGTTTTCGAAGAGGTCAAATATCTCAATCTCCCATGAGAATCCGACGCTGCCAATGTCAGGGTGTAACCAACTCCTTTGTTGATCTTTTGCACTAATCTAATAGCTCCTGAGGAAAGAAAGGATGTGCGAGTATCGGCAGTTATTTGAATTGATTCAATTGAGGCACATTTAAAAGGGCATTCAATGTTAGGCTCATATTCATCGACTCCCATTTTAGCGAGAATTTACAGCAAAACGATACCACTAATTCAGAAGTAACAGAGACGTTGTAGGGAGAATCACTCCAAATGTTGTAACGCCCATAGTGGATAGTTTGTTCAAGCGAATTTTTCTTTGGGCTACACACACTACGTGAGGTAGGAGTTTTCAACACGCCAGAGACAATGGCCGTATACCACAATTATCTAGTTAACCTTTAGTTGATCATATTTGTAAAATGAGACTGCAAAATATAAAATAACATCAGAGTTTCTCCCCTTGAACATAATATTTTTCCTACAATTTTTGAATATCAAAAGGACATTTGGGTAGTATCAAAAGTTATTACTTCTTGATTATAACCGGTTGGTTGACTACGATTTCAATATTCTTGAGTTGGTTTTAGCAAAAGGTTTTTTTTTTTTTTTTTCTTCAATTGACATCTATTTTGTTTGTTTTATATGCGTCAGCTTCTAAATTGATTTATGGAGGTCTGCACTCTCAATTCTGGAGCTCAAATGAAATCTGATCCTCACGGAATAACTACATAGTGGTTATGGGGCGCTGATGCCTAAGCTGACAGCCAAGTTTGAGGTATCAAGCCTCTCAACCCACCCCAACCGTTTAGGGGGGCTATAACTGATCTGTACCATACTAAGCATATAAATTTCTACCGTGAGCAGGGACTCACATTACTCATCGTATGTTCCCTAGGTTTAACTATTACTTTCAGATTTTCAATGATGAACGTCCCATCGCTGGGCTAGTCACGGGACCAAGCTGTCTTAAACCTTGGAAAGTTCTTCACGCAGAAGATGGGAAGGATAGGCAACAGACCCAAGCACCGCTACACCAGGCAACAAGATGCCACCATGACGCCTTAGAGCGAAAACTCTGTTTCCTCCACGTTACGAACAGAGAAAGTTACTTCCTTGTTTGAGAGAGCGGGGACGGAGCCAATCGCCAGCTTTGTGGAGACTTTCTCATGCATCGCTAGTCGAAGCCTCAGGATCCATCCCATTCTCGTCCGAGCCACTATCCATCGCTGAAGACACAGGACGAAGCAGCCATGCTGATGATTGGTCTTCCTCGCCTCCTTCTCTTCAAGGCTGAGAAGGCTGCAAGAAGGATAAAAGGTTGCCTCGATCGCAACAACGTTTCGAAGTTTAGCCATTGATGCCAATGTTGTGGTGTTCAATTCATCAAGCCTTTTTCTGAGGACAATATTTGAGAGGCTTATCTTCTTGCTGCCATCTCCAAGTACTAATACTGCGCATTGGACGGCCTATCTACATCGTCCTATCCCTCAATCATGCCCCGCCACGGAAGTCTGCAACCGCTGTGTGGTTGTTGGTATCTGGCAACCACAACGCGCCAATACATCCCTCAAGTCGACCTCAAAGCCCATTCAACCATACTATCAGCTTCTTCCAGGACAATCTTAACCCAGACTTTCATCAACCCCACATCAAGAGACCTAGGAGATGTCAAGTACACCTTTCCTTTGCACGATGGCGTCAGCATTGTGGGTTTTAAGTGCGAAATTGACAATCGAGTCATTCGTGGGATCGTGAAAGAACGGGGGAAGGCTAAAATTGAATACCAGCAGGCTGTCCAGAAGGGCCAGGCTGCAGCTCTGCTTGAGCAGTCCGCCTTGGCATCTGATACTTTCACAACCAGCATAGGAAAAATCCCCGTCGGTTCCAAAGCAGTTGTGGAGATTATATATCTAGGCGAGTTACAACACGATGCCCAATCGGATGGCGTCCGTTTCAGCATTCCCAGCGTCATCTGTCCTCGCTACGCAAATTCTTCTGTCGACACTCACGAATTGAGTCAATCCTTAGCGACCCTTGTACAGAGAGGTGCCATCAACATCACTGTGGATGTTTCAGTGGACAAAGGATCTAGCATCCGCGGTTTACAATCACCAAGTCACCCCATCGCAATCACACTAGGCCGGACGTCAGTTGCTGCTCAAGACGTATTTGAAGCTAATCTCGCTTCTGCGACCCTAACGATGCAGCAAGGAAATTTGTTTTTTGATGAAGACTTTGTGTTGGTTGTCAATGCAAAAGATCAGGATGTGCCGAGCGCTTTTGTGGAAACCCACCCAACTATTCCCAACCAGCGAGCTATAATGGCAACGCTTGTTCCCAAGTTCAACATACCAAACAATAACCCAGAAATCGTTTTCATCATCGATCGAAGTGGTAGCATGGGGGGGAAGATTCAGACACTTCAGACAGCATTGAGGGTTTTCCTCAAATCCCTACCAGTTGGTGTCAAGTTTAATATTTGCTCGTTTGGCTCCTCCCATTCATTCATGTGGAAGAAAAGTCAAGCATACGATGCTTCCTCCCTAAAGGCTGCACTTAAATATGTGGATTCGGTGTCTGCGAATCTTGGAGGAACAGAAATTCTTGGCCCTGTACGGACGCAGCGGTGGAAAGGCGTCTCAAAGACCTGGATTTGGACATGAA